GGAGCTAAAGCTGCTTTCCACAGGATTCTGGTTGCCTATACTGCGAATTAAAACACATTTTAACCGCATAGCATGACGATAACACAACAGGATTTCCATGAGCAGCATCACATTGGCGTGTGTGTGAGAGTGTGTGTGGGGAGGAAAGGGAGATACAGAGAGGCAGACTGCTCGATTGTAGGGGTTCCCCAAAGCAATTTCTTATTTCTAAAAATAGCTGCAGCTCTGCAAACGTGAACCAGAGGAAAAAACACATCTCCATCCAAGACATGCATTCAAATGAAGAGACGGAGAGAGAGAGAGGGAGAGGGATTGAAATATGCTCTATATCGCCAAAATACACCATTAAAATTAGCTTTTTAATGATATAATATGTTAAATAGCACAGTAAAAAGATCCCATCTGCAATTGTCATGGAGTATTTTAAGACTTCAGTATATCTAATTTCAGGATCGGAGTGTTTTTCTACCACTGCCTGAATTACACGTGTGACCCAGATGTTTTGAGCAGACTTAAGTAGTGACGGATTACATGTAACGAGATAACTAGGGTACAAAAAGAAGGTAACTGTAATCCCGTAAAAAAGATTACTGGTGTATTTAAAATAAATGGGGATTATCATCATTAAGGGTTCTAGTTTTAATAAAGCTTTCATTGGGTGGGAATTGAGGAAACTGTCTGAATTTGATTTTAATATCTTCTATTTTTAAAGCAGTGGGTGGACACTTCATTTATTGGATGAACATATTTGCTTCATTAAATTAACTTATCAATTAGACTATTCTGAATGCCTTGCCTACAGTATATACATTTACTTGCATTGCATTTGATATTGGGATAATGGAAACATAACAGAAAGTAATCAGACTACAATAGGCCAGGCTACTTTTAATGTTTTAAAGCCTTTTTTACATGCAGTACCTGATCTGCTAAAATAAAAATACCACCTTTGCTTTGGCACTGGAGAGAAAATGAGGTAACATTACTTTTATATTGTAATACTCAGATTACAGGTTTTCGGATGTGTAATTAAGTCGATCATTTGTTTATATATAATTTACAAGTCAGTCATATTTTAGTTTATCAATTTGACACTGCTTAAGTTTGTATAGTGGGATAATTCTCATGTTTCATTTCATTATTGTTTTACACAAAAAACAGAACAGATCACATTTCTCCCCGCCCAGATGTTAAAGGTCCCATGACATGGCCATTTCCACTGATCATAATCTCATTGTTGAGGTCTACTAGAATAGATTTATATTGTGCAATTTTCCAAAATGACATTGGTTTCTCATACAGCATCTCTGTATAGTATGTGTATTCACTCTCTGTCCTAAACGGCTTGTTGGAGCTCCTGCCCCCCCCCCCCCTCCCTGTGAGCCCAGTGTGCTCTGATTGGTCAGGACGTTGCGAGGCTCGCTGCTGCGAGGAGCGGACAGGTTTCCGGGTCGGCGATACAGCGAGAACAAGCGAAACTCATCCTGAACACACACAAACACTCACAGCCGAAGTAAAAACAATAAGTGTGGCTTGATACTGAGTAAGAAAAAGGTTTATAACGCTGTGAGAATGGGTCTGCAGAGAGCATTTCTCCACCATCCCAACTCGTCTATTACCAGCGTTCAGGGAGCTCTATGCAAGTCAATGGGACTCCCTGTTAGTTAGCCAAGGGATCCTGGTGTCTGAGGTGCTCCGCGGATTGGTCCATTTGGGCCAATCCGGTCATTTGTTGTTCGTCACAGAATCCAGGAAGCAAACAATGGAAAATGAGAAATGTCCAACGAGGCGTTCTGGGGCAGCATAGACAGGTCTTTTCTGTGTTAGAGTTTTACTCGCTACAGGGTGTACTTTGAGGGTTTGTGACTCTGCAGACCCTTTACATGCAGAAAAACCTTCATAACACACAAGGGGACGGGTAATAACCAGAAAAGCATGACATGGGCCCTTTAAGAGACATTCAGTCGGAGCTGCTTTCAGACTCAGCTTCACTGTGTGTGTGTTGTCTAGGACTTTCAAACAGGAATCATAATGAAAGAGGAGTGGGCTTAAAGCTCCACTAATCCTGTGTGAAAGGGAGCGGCTCGCAGCAGCACTTCTTTTATCCTCGTCATTCAGAGGGTGTAAACAAACGCTGAGCCAGCACTTCCTGCACTGCAAGCACTGCGCATTATATTATATATTACCTCATCGCATGACTGCTAACCCAGAGAGAGGGGGGGGGTCCTTTACTCTTTAATCTGATCGATTTTAAATGACCTTTTTTTTTAAAGGTTTTAATGGAGTTGGGTCAAGGTGTTTGATAGATATGAACCCCCTAGAACCCTCAGGTCTACTGGACTTTTCATTATAATTTAATCATATATTATTTGTTTAATAATACCTAATTTATATGTATTTATTGTAAAGATATATTTTATTTATTTATTATTATATTCTTTTTTATTTTATTGATTATTATATTATATTCTTTTTTTATATATTTTTTAATTATTCTTGCTATATACAGTCCTGTGTTTATTGACTGTTTTCATAAATCGCATATTTTTATTTATTTATTATTTAATTATTTGTTTGTATTGTGTCCTCCCTCCCTCGTTCTCTCTCTTCTTCCTTTCCTCTTTCCTTCATCCTCCCCTCTTCCAATACTCTTGCTCCCTCCATCCTGCTTTACTCCCTCCTGCTGTCATCAGGGTGATGTATCCGAGCAACAGTGGCATCCCGCCCATTCAGCATCCGGATGAACTAAATGTTTAAATCAAGAGGAAAGACATTATGGATGTGAGGAGGTAGAGGACATCACTGCTGTTGTAACGTTGCCCCATGTTCTATAGTGTCTAGATCTACATTGTTTCACTCTCCACTGTTAACGACTTAAAGGGGTCTCTACTTTAAAGAGTCCTCTCCTGCTCATGTTCAGGTGTATATCAGTGTGTAGTGTCTCTACTTTAAAGAGTCCTCTCATGTTCAGGTGTATATCAGCATGTAGTGTCTCTACTTTAAAGAGTTCTCTCCTGCTGATGTTCAGGTGTATATCAGTATGTAGTGTCTCTACTTTAAAGAGTCCTCTCATGTTCAGGTGTATATCAGCATGTAGTGTCTCTACTTTAAAGAGTCCTCTCCTGCTGATGTTCAGGTGTATATCAGTATGTAGTGTCTCTACTTTAAAGAGTCCTCTCCTGCTGATGTTCAGGTGTATATCAGTATGTAGTGTCTCTACTTTAAAGAGTCCTCTCCTGCTGATGTTCAGGTGTATATCAGTATGTAGTGTCTCTACTTTAAAGAGTCCTCTCCTGCTGATGTTCAGGTGTATATCAGTATGTAGTGTCTCTACTTTAAAGAGTCCTCACCTGATGATGTTCAGGTGTATATCAGTATGTAGTGTCTCTACTTTAAAGAGTCCTCTCCTGCTGATGTTCAGGTGTATATCAGTATGTAGTGTCTCTACTGGGGCATGTCTCCATGCTTTAATGTTCAGCTGCAGCACCTCTTTTCACCCTCTGTCTGAAACCAGAGCCCAGTCTGCTCTGATTGGTTAGCTGGTCGGCTCTGTTGTGATTGGTCAACCGCTTAGAGATGTCCCGCCCCTTAGCCTATCACGTACAATGTGTTGGAGTGCTAGCCAATAGCAGCGCAAGTTTTACGTACGAAGATGTCACTATGTTATGGAACTTTGGGATTTGTTGCCTTTGCAGACCGTTTACATGCACTAACAACTTTGGGAAAACCTCAAAAAGCATAATAGGGCTTCTTTTAAAGTCTTGAAGTGACTTAAAGTGTAGGCATGTAGTCCATTCAAATATCACCAGTCAGAGCATGATCAAAAGTATTACCAATAAATATGTATGTATTATAAATATACGTTAAAATTGGTTGCAGAATGTCCTAATAAACCTCCTTGAGGCTTGTAAAGGGGGTTGAAATGAGTGTGTGTGTGTGTGTCTTGTGTGTGTGTGTGATTACTTCTTGCTACTCTTTATTCCTCGTCTATCACCTTCCTCCCTCTCTCTCCTCTCAGCGTGGGGATCATATCAGATGTTTTGTTATCTGAGAGGGACAGGAAGTACCGTTCTGTTCTCCTTCGTCATCGTCCTTGGCTGAAGGGAACGACAATAACACAATGCCTGGTTTCCTTGCAGCAGTTTCCCTTTTTTGCACAAGTAAAGATTTTCCTTTGTACAGTTTGAAGAGTACAGTTTTCTGCCTTACTCAAGGGCACTTTACAATTGATCCTTGAATATAAAACTGAGGTCTCGGATGTCAGATTTTCAGGATGAAGCCGACTCCTCTTCACATCTGGCCGGAGTCTTTGTCGCCCTCTAAAGGACACTAAACAACATTATTTTTAAACTGAATCCTGCAAAAGATAGAGGTTTAATCACTTGAAATGAACATTAATTATTAAGGCCAATGTTTAATTAACATGGCCAATACACACATCCACTCTCACTCAAATGACATACTTGTTTTTCCATTTCAGAAAACAAAATAATAAGGATAAGTATTTGAATTCTTAAATTGACACTTTTGTTATTTATAGCCTTGAGAAAGAGCATGAATTGTTTGTGTTTGTGTCAAAAACAACCATTAAACTAGACCGTTAAACTAGACAATAAATACGGAAAAAGATTGACATTAAATAAAAGAATCTATAAAAAAATAAATCTTCAGTTCATATGATAAGACGGGAACCCTGTCAAAATCACACACACACACACACACACACACACACACACACACACACACACACACACACACACACACACACACACACACACACACACACACACACACACACACACACACACACACACACACACAACACACACACACACACACACACACACACACACACACACACACACACACACACACACACCACACACACACACACACACACACACACACACACACACACACACACACACACACACACACACACACACACACACACACACACACACACACACACACACACACACACAGAGAGAGAGAGACAGTGTGGTATCATTTGTTTTTATTCGGTGTTATGTTACATGTGACCATAAACCTACAGGAAGTTATAGTTGCCATGGAGATACAGGAAATATATTCACGTACTCGGATAGGAAAAAGTGTGTGTGTGTGTGTGTGTGGCAGTTGACATTGTGCACAAGTTGAGGACAGTCACTTGTGTGTGTGTGTCAAGTAATGGGGCGAGGGATAAAACCAACTGCGTGTGATTTTAAAATCAGCATTAAAAAAACAAAACCAGTTATCTAACGCTTAAAGCTACAAAACAAACAAACAAACACACAGGACATAGAAAAGAGGAATAAATAAAAATGCATTATTTTACAGAAACATCAGCAGAGATGTTTAATTCCCTCTGGATTTGGTGTGTGAGACTGAGGGAGTCTCTCTGCTGTGGCAGGGCTCAGCATCTGGAAGAAACTATGGGAGAGTTTTTATTATTGTTGGGAGGGGGGGGAGGGATCAATAACTGGGTGGGGGGGTCGGACTGGTTTATAAGGCGTCATATGGCACGTCCGCTAACAACTCTAGAGACTGAGGCCAACAGGAGCAGGGCCACAGGTGAACTATTCATTTACTTTAAACATCTATTTGAGTTTAAGTCATTAAAAGTCAGAACTCAAATGCATCTTAGCTTAGCATAAAAACTCTGAATGGACCCTGATTCTGTCCAAAAGTAACAATATACACTACATTCAGAAGCTCTCTGATTGAAGACTTTTTGGAAATACACATTCTTGCTATAAGTTCATATTAAGCTAGAGACAGTAGTTGCTTTATCACTTTCTTACTTTAAGTTAGATAGGAGGATGACACCCCTCTCTGTATAGCAAATATGAAGCTAAAGACAGTAGCTGCTTACAGTAGCTTAGCAAAAATATTCTAAACAGAGCCTGAGTCTGTATACAAGTAATAAAATACACTAAATTCACAAGCTCTCTGATTGAATACTTTTGGAAAATACACCTACTTACTTCTTTGCTTTAAGTTAATATGAAGCCAGAGACAGTAGCTGCTTAGCTTAGCTTAGCATAACGACTCTAAATGAACCCTGATTCTGTCAACAAGGTAACAACATAAATTAACTTAGGTTTCTGATTGAACACTTTTGGAAAATACACTAACTCACTTTCTTGCTGTAAATTAGATCCTGTAAGAAGAGGATGATACCCTTCTCTGTACAGTTAATATGAAGCTAAAGACAGTAGCTGCTTAGCTTAGCGCTTAGCACTTAGCATAACGAATTTTAACTGGTAACAGTTTACACTAACTTCACAAGCTCTCTATTGACAATATTTTTGACAGATTACATCAAAGAAATGTAATATGTAAGAGATCTTAACTGTGTACACTGCCTAGCAAGCTAGATGTGTCTCTGTGCTACGCTAAGCTAACTGGCTGCTCATATCTCAACTCTTAGCAAGAAAGCAAATAAGCACACTTTTAGTTCTGTCTTAAACTCACTATCAGGTCCAACAAAGCATATTTTAGACTTAATTTTGATGACTTGGTTAAAACAAATCGAGTCATTTTAAGAAAATAGTATTTTTTGATCTCTCTGTTGATGCTCACAACCTTCTCAGAGCAGAAATGTTAATATATCGAGTGATATAAAACTGAGAATAAAGTTATTGCAGTATGTTTTTAAAAATATCTATGTGAGTTTGAGTGATTTAAAGCTAGAATTCTGACTCAAATGCATTTTTTCACCTGTGGCCATGATCCTTTTCCACACTAGTCAGAGTCCCACCACCACTGCTTTCATTCCAGATAGTTCCCATTATTACAAATTCACCTTAGACACTTTGTTTGCTCCCCCCTCCACTAAACTCCCCTTTATATCCACCCCCTCCCCAGTCCGAGTCTAGAAGGCACTGGTTTTTAAACTTATTTCTCCACATTCTAACATCTGGATTTAAGATGAGCGATCGAGGCAATGAGGATACACAATAAAACACGTACAGATACACACGGGCCAGCCGGGTAACTTTCTATTTCCCAACGATGCTACCAGTCTTTCTTTGAGCCTGTGTTAGCGTTACAAAGGTCTTTCAGTCTGCTGACAGTGGAGGATATCGGATGTTTAAACATCCACAAGGCTAACATCCTGACAATAGATATTATATAAATCAGATATTTTTTGAATCGCCTCAAAAAAGTTGTTTTGGACTCTTACAGACTGTTCGATCTGTGGTGCCTTCATCCATGAAAACAAATGGTCAGAATATAAGTTCGTTGGCTAGGAAGCAATATTTGTTTTCCTGCTTATATTGTAAAATGATGATTATACCTTTTGTAGAGCGGGACTTCTCCGCAGCTTCACAATACTTAATTCAGATATTTTCACATATATTTACTGCAATTTGGATATTGCAATAGTCCAGATGGCAGTTTTGATAACATTTAGATTCATTGTGCAAGCCCTACTGTTAACGCTGAGGTGTTCATTTTCCCATAAGTCCACTGTGAGTTAAAAAGCTAAACCAAAGACTGTTTTCCTGTGAGTCTTTACTGTATATTTGAGTCTTTAAAATCCATGTTTCCAAAGAGGAAGGCGACTGATTAAAACCGAAATGTTCCGTCACTTAATCTCCAAAACGTCCTTTACTTCTGCAATCAGCAAACTCCTGATTAACACAGAGTTTTTTCTCCCTCATGTCCATGTGTATCGAGCAGTGGACAGAAAGACACACAGGGTTAAAAAAGACTGGCTTGTGCACAAAGCGCGGGAGTGTCGGTGTGGTTTGTGACCCTCGGTGTTTGGTTGGATATTTACACAGTGAACGGGGTCGACTCCTACTCTACACACTGAGTTTGGCTGGTACTTAGCGTACGCTTGGAATGGTTTACTGTGGTGATAGTTAGAAAAAACGTCTACGTCCTCCTGCGACTAAGTAGCTCACTAAAGTGTCTATTCTATTAGCATCTGAGGCGCAAAAAGCACTGAAAGCAATGATATGAATTTGAGGGAAAGGGTTTTTCTGTCTCCCATGGCTTGGTCTGGAGTCGGTTTGTAGAACATTAGCTCGTCTTTACACCTTTCAGATTAGTTCTGTGTGGTTTTAAACCCTGAAATGTTGAGTTTCAAAGGTAAACCTAGTAGGAAAATACTCACTTTCTTGCTGTAAGAGGTTGATATGCCTCTGTACAGTAGATATGAAGCTAGCTGCTTAGCTTAGCATAAAGACTCCAAACCGAGCCTTGCTCTGTCCAAAGGAAACATATAAACCAACATCTAAAACTCAAACTCTCTAAAGAACACGTGTTTGATGTGTAAGAGAGTTTACTTTTGAACAGAGCTAGCTGTTTTCAGTCTTTGTGCTAAGCTAAGCTAAGCTAACTGGCTTTTCTCAACTCTCAGCAAAGCACACTTTTATTTAGATGTCTTTATCTCACCATCAGGTCTAACAAGGCTTATTTTAGACTGAGCTCTAATGACTTGGTTAGAACAAATCAACCCCTTTTACCTCAAACTAGGGCAGTAGTCACTGTAATGCATGAAAAATCACAAAGATCATCTTTTTTTGACCCTCTGTCGATGCTCACAACCTCCTCAGAGCAGAAATGTTAAAATGTCAACTGATAAAAAATGATATTAACAACATGTCTGCCGTCTGCAGTGCTTTTCTGCATGAAGATAAAATACTGTACAATATGTCGTTAGCACGCGCTCGTCTTTACATGCTACCTGCAATGACGCTGACTTTTTTCTTTGTATGCAAAAAGGTGAAGTTTTATAATACAGCGGAAATTATATCTTCTGTTCCTTTGAACAAATATTATTTGTGTTATTTATCTTCTTTGTCAACACACCCCCAGCTGATAATAAAAAAATAAAAGTCACATAGATTGGACCACTTTGTTTTTCTCTCCCTTATCACTGCTGCGAGCAGACCGTTATTCACACAGGACACACCAAGCAAACAAAAGAACAAACAAAAAACGATTAAAAAAACATTAAAATGAAAGGAATCTGTGAGTCCTGGTATTTGAGTCCGTGTTAAAAGGTTCCCTGTTAAAAATGAAATGTAAGTCACAGAATAGTGTCACTCAATCGGGGAAAAAACACAACGAATAAGAGCTAAAAATGGCTGCTGTCTTTGCCTCTACATTGAGACAAATCAACGAGCTCCAGAGTGGCAGTAGAGACTTCATCCCCTCCTCTTCCTCTCGCTGCTCCTCCTCCTCTTCTTCACTTTGAAATCTGTGGAGCTTTGGAATGGATTGGATAAAAATAAAAACAACTTTTTAAAAAAAAGTCTCTTTTTGTGTGAAAGTCTCCACCTTTTTTCTGGACGTTTGTAGTAGGATTTGATAAAGAGCAAGATGTCAAAGTTCACATCTCTTAGTCCCCCACGATCTGTGTGTGTGTGTGTGTGTGTGTGTGTGTGTGAGTGTGAGTGTGAGTGAGTGTGAGTGTGAGTGAGTGTGTGTGTGTGTGTGTCTGCTACTTGAAGACATAGTTGATCAGGACCTGAAGGAGGATGAGAAAAACGATGATGACGTAGTCGCGCTGTTGGAGGAACGAAGCGCTCTCCACCCGGCCGGCTGCACGGCTCCGCAGAACGCTGATGTTCCTGCAGAAACACAGGAGTTATATCCAGTATATATACAGTTACATATCCAGTATATATCCAGTATATATACAGTTACATATCCAGTATATATACAGTTACATATCCAGTATATATCCAGTTACATATACAGTATATATACAGTTACATATACAGTATATATACAGTTACATATCCAGTATATATACAGTTACATATACAGTATATATACAGTTACATATCCAGTATATATACAGTTACATATCCAGTATATATACAGTTACATATCCAGTATATATCCAGTTACATATACAGTTACATATACAGTATATATACAGTTACATATACAGTATATATACAGTTACATATCCAGTATATATACAGTTACATATCCAGTATATATACAGTTACATATCCAGTATATATACAGTTACATATCCAGTATATATACAGTTACATATCCAGTATATATCCAGTTACATATACAGTATATATACAGTTACATATCCAGTATATATACAGTTACATATCCAGTAAATATGCAGCAGTGTTTCTCAAACTTTCTATAACCATATAACAAATTACAGCCTAATAATGACAGCTTAACGTGACCTTCTCTATATCGCCTCGTTCACACATTAAATCAACAACACAAATACAAGCATTTCGTTCATATGTGATTTAAAATGCTCACAGGTTTTACACCTCATATGAAATGTAGACTACATTTATTACGGAGTTTATGTCCGAGCCAACAGACTCACAGATCGTTGGCTACTGAGAGATATGCAAAATGCACCGCATGTAACCTCCGCTGTGGATTTTCAAAATACAATACAGTAAAACTATGGTTTCAGGCCCAAATTGAACATGAATTCAACATTAAACACAAGTTAAATATTTACACTGTTCCATTTATTTAGCATTGTTTATGCACTCATTGACTGTGTGTCTTTGTTGCAACCTATTCTAGTCATTTTTAAACAATTTGAGAAACACTTTGAATGTATTATTTATTTATTTAAAATGTGACATTTTACCAATATACTTGCGGACCCAACTTTGAGAAACACTGACATACAGTATATATCAGCGACGTGCAGTCAGTGGAGGCAGGGGAGGCAGAGCCTCACCTGTCATACTCCAATGTAACGGAAAAACAACTAAAGAAAAACTAAATAGTAATAATAATAAAATGTCTCCACTGTGTTGTAAGTGTGATTTATGTATGATTCCAATCGCTTTTTATAGTCAAAATCAGCAAATTTGCCGAGCTCCGCTACGGGAGCGATGAGAAGTGAGGCAGGGACGTGCTCTGCCTCTCGTAAGCCCACAGTAACTTGCTGGAGCACGGGCACTAATTTAGCGCGGGCACTTATTTTGTGAGCCCGTTACTGTGGGGTGAGTTGAGGCACAGATGAGCTCTGCCTCACTTCAGAATGCGTCACCCCACAGAAACTGTCTGGAAAGCGGGCCCTAAGCGCATGCCTGTTACCCTCTCACTGTAGGTCACCAATGTAATGTTTGTAGATCCCTTTATTACATTTATCCTCGCCATCCATAGTCTCTAAATAACTTATTTCACGTATATATGATATTTAGGCTCGCTGGTCTCAACGGCAATGAAAAAGCACCAAGAGAGGCAGCCATAACCTCTGTCGCACTGAAGGGGGCGCACGTGAGCCCACAGGTTCTTGTTGCTACTGTTATTCTACACAGAGACGGTAGACGCAAACAACAAACTAGACTTTTGAAACTACAGGAAGATAAGGAGGACTTTTACAAAACAGTAATAGAGATTGTTGTCCAGAAGGATAGCATGGACTTCATCTTCAAGTCAAGGTAAGACCACATTTCTATTGAAAATGGGATCTTACTAAGAAAGAACAATCCAATATTTAGATTTTGGGTATCCTTTTGTTGAACGGTCTGTTTAAAATGAATCGAAGCATCAGACTAAAAAAGCTTTTGAAAATAACCGAATATTTCGATTAAGGTCAAAATATAATATTTGTAAATCTGACTCAGTGAGTCAGTGCCTCACCAGCCATGAACCTCACCGCACGTCACTGGTATATATATATATATATATAGTTATAATGAGAGGACGCTCAACAGGAAGTAGGCGTCATGTGATGCTCGTGCTCTCACCTGTTAATGTCCTCCTGAGTCTTCTTTATGGTTTCAATGGCACTTTGAAGTTCACTGAGGTCCGCTCCTTTTTTCCTCAGTCGACTGTTATGCTTGCTTTTGTGTCCTGAAACAAAGTGTGTGTACAACATGTTAAATACCACACATAGAAAGCACCTTTTCATTCATTACACGTGTGCCACGGTACAAAACAATCAGTTTTAAGAATATAAGATTTTGAGTTTCTCCTTTCTTATAAAAGTCCTGTAGTATCTTGGATATCTTATATTTGATATAATATTTTTCATTTTATTTGTAATTGTTCATTCTCTTTTCCACTTTTTAAAGTATTTTAATGTCTGAAAAAACACTTCTGCTTCTGTAACAAAGTAATTTCCCAAAATGGGATCGATAAAGTATCTTTCTATCATTTAGTTTTTAACCTAACCACCAGCAGGGGGCGCTGTTTACCAGCTCAGTGAGAGACAAGTCTGTGCTTGGCAGAACGTTTTAAAGTCTTCTGTTACAAGATATGTGAATTGGTTTTGATTTAATGCATGCGTGTACTTTTAAAATGTAGTAAATTGCTCCACACTAAACAAAGAGGGATATGTAGGCTTTACATTTTCGTATAAATGCAGAGGTGGGAAGTATCGGAGTACAAATACTTCGTTACTGTACTTAAGTACATGTTTCTGGTATCAGTACTTTACTCCACTACTTATTTTTCTGACGACTTCTTACTTTGACTTCTTACATGTTGAACACAAATACCTGTACTTTCTACTTCTTACATGTTGAACCCAAATACCTGTACTTTCTACTTCTTACATGTTGAACACAAATACCTGTACTTTCTACTTCTTACATTTTGAACACAAATACCTGTACTTTCTACTTCTTACATGTTGAACCCAAATACCTGTACTTTCTACTTCTTACATGTTGAACACAAATACCTGTACTTTCTACTTCTCACATGTTGAACACAAATACCTGTACTTTCTACTTCTCACATGTTGAACACAAATACCTGTACTTTCTACTTCTTACATTTTGAACCCAAATACCTGTACTTTCTACTTCTCACATGTTGAACACAAATACCTGTACTTTCTACTTCTTACATGTTGAACACAAATACCTGTACTTTCTACTTCTTACATGTTGAACACAAATACCTGTACTTTCTACTTCTCACATGTTGAACCCAAATACCTGTACTTTCTACTCCTTACATGTTGAACACAAATACCTGTACTTTCTACTTCTTACATGTTGAACCCAAATACATGTACTTTCTACTTCTCACATGTTGAACACAAATACCTGTACTTTCTACTTCTTACATGTTGAACCCAAATACCTGTACTTTCTACTTCTTACATTTTGAACACAAATACCTGTACTTTCTACTTCTCACATGTTGAACACAAATACCTGTACTTTCTACTTCTTACATTTCCCAAACAGGCTGGTTCCTTTAGTTTGAATGTGTGGCGTGATCATTATTATTTAGAGTCATTGCGTGCCTATTGATTTGAACACGATCCGTGTATCCATCATTTCCTGGTCTTCTCTAAAGAAGAGGGACCAATGGAAACGTTGTCATGTTGCCGTTGTTCAGCATGGAAACATTCATTAGCTAACAATGACATTATTGTTCTATTAATATAAAGGGAGGTCAGGTACTCTTTAAACAGCTGCTAGTTATGGGTACTTTTTACTGAAGTACATTTCAAAGCCTCTTTACTTTGACTTGAGTAAAGAAGTTTAGTCAGTACTTCTACTTTCACCAGAGTATTTTTAAACACGGGTATGTGTACTTCTACTTGAGTAAAGGATGTGTAAATGTGTACGAAGACTCACGTTCGCTGCCAGACGAGTCCTGGCGGTCGGGTTCAGGAGAGGAACATCCGCTCTCCGGCTTCTTGGGTTTATCGCTCTTGTGTTTCCTCTTTGGCACCGTCACCTACACAACGATACACACACAAACACACAAACAGGTCAAACAAACAGGCCACACACACACAACAACCAAATATGAGACACACAGAAAACACATTGAAGCAACCGCACAAGGACAGTAAAACACAAACAGAATTTTGCATACACGACAATACAACAAAAGGGTGTTTTGATGCAAGAAAAAAACACTTGGCACGCAAATGAAGGTGCAAGGCATGCTGGGACATCAGGCATCCATTTAAATGTAAATCATAATCACTCATAACTCCTTCAGTTCAACAGGGTTACTACAGCTCTGCCCGACAACAACAAGATGGTTAAAAGTGCAAAGATGAAAGATTATTGTGGTCGGCATTTATCCATATTATCACGTAATCTATAGAAGATTTTAAAAGAAACCAACAGTCATAATAATGCTTTCAGTGTAATGTATATTTAACCTTCGCATTTTGTATTTAGAATATAATACACACTTGAAATAAACAGTGTCGTGGTGCTGAAAGTGAAGTCAAGACTGGAGTCTGTTCTACAAGAATCTACAAAAGCAAACCAAAAGGAAAAGATTTAGGAGGCTGTAAATGAATCACAAGATATCATTTATTTGATTAAATTATGAACATTTTTGTATTTTAACCTCAAAACATTCATACTATACACTGTATTGCAACACCCAACTAGCTGTAAATAACACTTATTTATAAATGTGTGTTGTTTTATCTCCTAAGGTAGGGCTGCACGATTTTGAAAAGATAGCTAGTATCAATTAGTACAGTTTTTGCAATTGTTAAAATTCGCATCCTTTACACACACTCAGTTTTTTCGTTGTACCTTTAATCTAAATGTAATGTTTTACTCTATGCTATTTTTAGTTTGTTTTCATGTCTTTGACTGGTAACTGTATGATATACATTTTCTGTGAAATGTCTCTGTGAAGCACTTTGAACTGCACTTATTGTATGAAAGGTGCTATTTCATACAATAAGTTTGTTAAAACGATTTGTTAAAAACACTTCTAATAAAATCCAGTTAATTAAATCTGCTGAGATTTTAAAAGAGCTTTGGTTTAGAGCAGGGGTGCCCAATACGTAGATCGCATGCCAATAGGTGCTTTCACACCGCAGTACTTTTCCCAGTATAGCTCCGATATAGTTCCGAAAATGTGCGTTCACACCAAAAAAATCCGGAACTAGAACTTAGTTCATGAGAACCTTTTCACCCCCTTTTCAGTCCCTGCTAGAGAGCAGGTACTTTCGTGGGAGAAAAAGGTTCCCATTTCTGATTGGCTGGGAGGATTGCAAACCACGCCCCGTAAAACTCCCACAAAGTTTTGTGAAGCCGCCATTTTATTATCCTCACATTAGCATTATTAGCATTAGCATTAGCCAAGCGCACAAACGCAGAGAGACTAACTTATGGCAACACAAAAGAAAACATGGGAGCGGTGGAGATGAGGAGGTGTCGGCATTCTGGCGATTTACTCGGAAGGCTTCAGTAGAAGCTGCTGGGAGTCCCAGCAGCTTCTACTGAAGCCAGTCCCCAACTCCGGGGACTTCCGGCCGGGGACTTCGGGTGGCAGTATACGCCGTGAAGTTGTTTGCGGCCTGCCAGTAAACCCAAAGCAGAAGAAGAAGAAGTGACGTCAGCGGCTTCATTTGCCTAATCCTCCCTCAGGGACTTATTCCGGTGTGAACGCGATCTGCTCTTTAGTTCTGATGAACTAAGTTCTGATGAACTAAGTTCTGATGAACTAAGTACGGCAAAGTACTTGGTGTGAAAGTGCCTCTTGAAAAAATAAAAAAAGTTAGCTTATCATCCATCCTTACTATGGCATTTGCCACTTGATTGACGTACAGGTAAGCCAGTCTGATATCTCATCTTTTCGAACACGCAGTTCACCACGCATGTGCGGCTGATTACCAAGTTAGCCTTCCAATTTATACAATTCTACTAAAGAAAGGGTATAAAATTGAGGTAATGACCAAAAATGTACTGAGTTGTATCGTGCCATACGGGTCCATGCAGTTATGCAAGGTACACCAACATACTCAGTATATATATAAATAAATATATGTTTAGCATTTTTAATGTAGGTAGATCATTTTGACTTGGTCATTTTAAAAGTAGCTCCCAAGCTGAAAAAGTGTGGGCACCCCTGGTTTAGAGAATTGATTTCATGTTTAAAATGAAAATGTTTGCCCAGTTTATTTGTAAAATATTCGTGAATAAGGCAGCAGTGTAAGTGTATTGTTTGCATGCTTTATTTATTTGAATGACTATTGCAAGTTGTCTAATGCATCTTTCTTTTTCACCTAAAAGACCCATTCGGCAACTAAATGGACATTTGTTTTCAAGTAAACTATTGACATAAAAGTCTGAAAAAGCAACAGTTGCTGTTTCATTGGAGTGGAATCCTGTTTAAAGTCCAGTAGATGTTTCAAGTCCCTTTCACGTGGGGAAACTGCACCAAAATCAGAGAAGACTTGACAACAAATAAAGATTATAATTATTACTCAGAAACTGTCCTACACCAGGCAACAAAAGGAAATATCATCTACGTCCTTTAGCATGCACTTAGCATAACCTTCCCTCCCATACAGAGAGAACAGCACGTGCAAGGGGAGAAAAAACAGAGACACAAAGAATTAAAATAACAAAAGTATAAAAGGAGGTGACAACGGCGATGGCGGCACACAGAGAAGAAGCGACAATGAAGACGGTGCACCGAATGCTGCGTGGAAGGTGGCTGAGGCGGTGAGCTGTTTGTTTTATTTCGATCGGGACGACCTACCTGGCACTTGCAATTGTCCCTCCGCGGCCCCTGGTTACTCAGACTAATAAGACTGCCAGAACGTACCATAGGGGTGCGGTGTCGGACCTTGGTCTGGATGCAGCCGTCTTTCTCAAACTGGATCAAGTCGTTGAGCGGATCCCACGGCCTCGTGCTGAGGGAGAGGAGACAGAGAGGAGGGAGAATAAAGTGAGACGGACACATGGGAGAGGAGACAGGTGTAGAGAAAGAGAAGGAGAGTGGGAGATTTAGAAACAAAAAGAGGATGGTACATGTTGGGAAAATCCTGAATGTCCTCTTCCAATATCAGAGTCCACATGATAACAAAGGTATCCCAACTGTAGCTGTGAACATGACAGGATGTATGATTACCTAGAAGAGCATCAGGACTGTTTGAGGCATATGATAGCTATGTGATTAACATGATGATTCAGCCTCTATGGAGATAGACATATGACAAGCATGCTCATTTCTGACGTGGAGCTAATCTGAAGTAAACATTGAATACTGCTTTCTATTCCTCCATCTTGTGACTGTGTAACTCCCTCTCTTGGATATCAGCATGTGAAGGACACTGTTCAGGAACTAGTTGATGCTCTGTATGTGATGACTACTTCCATTCTGGAGAGGATCAGGAATACATGGATCCTGAGATTGAAGCTCAAGCCGGGGACCAGGGATTAGAAAAAGTCATAATTTTGAGAAAAAGTCATAATTTTGAGAGAAAATCATAATTTTGATTAAAAGTCATAATTTTGAGAAAAAGTCAGCATTTTTAGAAAAAGTCAGGATTTTGAGGCAAAGTCGTCTGAATTTTGCGAAAAAGTAAAATTTTTGAGAGAAAATCAAAATTTTGCGAAAAAGTCAGAATCTTGAGATTTTGAGGCAAAGTCCAATTTTTTTAGAAAAAGTCCAAATTTTATTGAAAAAGTCATAATTTTGAGAAAAAGTCAGAATTTTGACATTTTCAGAAAAAAAGCTAATTTTCAGAAAAAACTCTTTTGAACATGACAGGATGTATGATTACCTACAAGACCCGGTATTCCTCCATCTTGTGACTGTGTAACTCCCTCTCTTGTATATCAGCATGTGAAGGACACTGTTCAGGAACTAGTTGATGCTCTGTATGTGATGACTACTTCCATTCTGGAGAGGATCACAAATACATGGATCCTGAGATTGAAGATCAAGCCGGGGACGAGTGATATTTTTCTAGCACTATCCTAAAGGGTAATAACTCTAAGCCTGTTTTTCTTTAAAGCAGCAGAGGAGTCACTCACTCGGCATATCTGTAATGCCACTCTCCGGTGACGGGGTCCTGCTCGAACAGCGCGGGGTTCCATTCTTCACATTTAGCTTTCCGCTCGCGAGCAGACTTCCTCTGGGCTTCCTCCAGGAAGAACTTCTCGTTGGTGGCCTCCGTCTGGTCCTTGTTGTTGACGGCCCGAGTCACATGCTGCCACAGTCTGAGGATTAAAACAGGAACCAGAGGCATGAAGTTAATGATTATATGATCATATACTTCAGCTATACAAAACAATACACCATGACAAGTTGGCAAATGAGTACTTTTTTAAAGACTTTTAAAGGATCATCCAGTTGTGATTTTAAGTCCATGTTCACCTCTCTGATTCAGATTCTCCTTGTTCTTCGGGGGGAACGGTGCATCGAGTGAGTCGACTCTGTCTCAGCTCGGTCGTTGGATTCCAGAAAGTTTCCACGGTCCCCGTCTTCTTGTCGTTGATGAAGATCTCGCTGTCCTTTAAAGGGGAAAGTCACAAAGCGCTCATTACTTAGCTGAAGACATTGAATACGTTTTTCTGTATATAACGGTGGGTTCAGAGCTTCTTTTATTTGACACTGATAGCATTAACTTCACTATAGATGCCTATAGAAATAGGCCACATTTCTGTGCACATGCAATACAATAGAGCAGTGGCGAACCGTGTCTATCACAACTGGACCTTCTGTAGACACACACACACCCCCCGCCGCGCCCCCCCCCCCCCCCGCCCCGCCGTTATAATGTCCGTCTTTTCACTGAATTGTCGTCTTGAAAAGGGTAGCCTACTCACAACAATTCCGCAACAACTTCATCTTCACCTGTTGCACTTGCCATTTCAACGTTAAAAACAATAAAACGGCATGAATTGCTTCGTGGCATTCATCTAGATCCTCTGTCTCGAGCCAGTGAACTACCGGGCCTTCTAGAATACCTGGAACCGAGGGAAACTCTGAAAGAATACGCCCATTGGGTACAGATCAATATATGATTGGTTGATCAAACTGTCAGTCCAAAGGTACGCTCTCATTCAGTGCAACGTCCAGGATATTCTATCAAGGATATAGAATACCTTGGTTGAAGGATATTCTACCCAGAGACCCAGAACACGATCTGATTGGTTGCTTTCTTTTCTAACACAAAACCACTGAAATGCGTAGTGCATGGACCGAGAAGGAGAAACAAATCAACAACACAGATACGATTCTCATTTATTCATTTTACATACATTTTATTTATATAATTAAATGGATTTTTTGTTAGTTTTATCTGAGTGTTCCAGGGTATTCTCTGAATACCTTGAAGGCCCTGACGGTTCGCCACTGCAATAGAGATTTTTTTTGTAAAGCACTTCCAGACCAAAGTGCTGTCGGAGAAATAAATACACACATAAAATACAAAGGTCCCACAGCTCAGCTCACAAACCATAATTAAACCAGAATAAAATCCGTATCGTATCGCATCTCATCATATCGTACCTTTTTAAGGTCAAATGACTGAAATGGCACTGTGCCAACATAAATAAAAAGCATACGTTTGGTAAAAAGCTTTAGTTGCTAAAACATTGGGAACAATTATTAACACTTAGGCTTTTAGGGGTATTGTGAATTTTTATTGTGGGTGTAGAAATGACCCGATCCCTCTTATCGTAAATCTCGGTTTATTAGAAATCTATTTGATGGAAAAACGGACTTATAAATTGAGATTTATGCAAGAAACACAACTCAACAGAAAGTGGGAAAGATGGACTCAAAGCAAAGACATTTGACTGGAACAATAGATACATGTATCTTCAAGAATATAATAACATGAAGACATACCCCTAGCCTTTTATTTTGTATTGCCTTGCTGGCCTTTTGTTACATGATGGTAATGTTGTTGTAGCCAGCATGTTATCGCCATGTATAATGTGATAATAAAGATTTAAATTACCATTTTTTTAAATGATATAACGAATAGTCGTCAGAATAATGTGTGAAAAGTGTCTCTTACCCAGTGTCCCTCGAGCGTGGCTAACACCTCTTTCCCCAGCTTGATCTTCCCACAGATCTGGTTGACACAGTCACTGCTGCCCAGGAAAGGCTGGAGGAGAGAAGGGAAGGAATAAAGGAGGGGAGGGAGGGAGGAAAGGAAAGCAAGAGGGTAAAGGGAGGAGGAGGGGAGGAGAGGAGTGAACATAGAAGACATGGGAGGGGGATTTAAAGAAGGGTAAAGGCAGGAGACATACACATTCAGTTTACTTCCTGTTGTTCCTATGGAGAAAAACAATAGGCGCTTTCACACCGGAGTACTTTTCCCACTTTAGTTCCGATAGTTATTGAAATTTTGCGTTCACACCAAAAAAATCCGGAACTAGAACTTAGTTCATGAGAACCTTTCCACCCCCTTTTCAGTCCCTGCTAGAGAGCAGGTACTTTCCTGGGAGAAAAAGGTTCCCATTTCTGATTGGCTGGGCGGATTGCAAACCACGCCCCGTAAAACTCAGAAAAGTTTTGTGAAGCCGCCATTTTATTTGCTGTCATTAGCATTATTAGCATTAGCATTAGCCCAGTGCACCAACGGAGAGAGACTAACTTATGGCAACACAAAAAAAAACATGGGAGCGGTGGAGATGAGGAGGTGTCGGCGTTCTGGCGATTTACTCAAGCCCCCAGGAAGTGCGCCGGACTCTGATGAAAATATTCGTTGTGTCCAAACGGCGGTACTACAACTTCCGTATCAGTCCGTGACGTCACTGGGCCCAGACAGACTTTTCCCCATTGACTAACATTGGGAAAGAGACGTCTGTAAATCAACGGATATTTTTTTTTAAACTAAATAAACTACCCAGTATGAACTATTTGATAGCCCTTATTAGAATCATTCGGTCCTTAAAGTTGTAAAATGCACTAAAAGCCGAATCTAGATTTATTTTCTGTCTCCATTCATTCTAGTGAGCCGAGAGTGGGATCTCAGGGGGCGGGGCTTAAGGGGCGCTGTGAGCGCACAGACGGGTTCTTCTGCTCTGACAGCCAGGCATGATGGGTAATCTGTGACGTTTCGCTCTCTCAAAAGTTGGGCCATTTTGTCTTCATGCGCCAATGAGCAGCTCTCACAGGAAAGAACGAGACCCCGCCTCCCACGCTGTATCCAGTTCTTATTATACATCCATGGATTTACTCTGAAGGCTTCAGTAGAAGCTGCTGGGAGTCCCAGCAGCTTCTACTGAAGCCAGTCCCCAACTCCGGGGACTTCCGGCCGGGGACTTCGGGTGGCAGTATACGCCGTGAAGTGGTTTGCTGCCTGCCATTAAACCCAAAGCAGAAGAAGAAGAAGTGACGTCAGCGGCTTCATTTGCCTAATCCTCCCTCAGGGAACTTATTCCGGTGTGAACGCGATCTGTACTTAGTTCATGAGAACTAAAGAGTTCTGATGAACTAAAGAGTTCTGATGAACTAAGTACGGCAAAGTACTGAAAGCGCCTATTGTGACTTGTCTTGTTTAATCTACATTTGTGCGTCTGTAGTCATTTGAAACAGGATGGTAGTTTGTTTGCTGTTTAAATGCATAGAGCTAATGGAGCGGAGGTGAACAAGAGGCTGCAGTTCAATCATTCAATAACAAGAGAAATTGAACTTCCAATTAAACTTGTGGAAGTAAAGAGCTCTTGTGGTGTTTTAAATGGAAATGTTGTGATCCCCTGGTGGCTTTGTGTGAAGTGTACCTGTCGCTTGTTTAGGAAAATGGGATGTTTTTCAGGAGGGAGGAGGAGTGGTATGGTGGAGATGGCGTGGTGGGGTCACACATTCAGAAAAGTCACGTGAGAAACTGTTTTTTACAGCATCTATAACGGCTTATTCACTCAGCTGGAGCTACAATGATTAGATAAATACTGATAATCGATTCATTGTTAGTCTCTGAAAAGTTTGCTTTCAGCCTCATGATTATGGAGATTTGCTGCATTTCTTTGTTTTTATATCGTATTAAAGAGAATATCTTTGGGTTAGGAACTGAAATAAAGGCATTTAAAGACATCCACATGGATTCTGAGAAGCTAGGATGGAAATCATACACAATTTTCTGACATTTCACAGACAATAAATCAATTAATCTGGATAATGAAAATATGTGTAACTTGCAGCCAGAATAGGTCCCTCTCTATCAAAGTAAGACTGAAATGATCTACTACTCTTCAATAAATACAGCCATACCTTTAGTTTGAATTCGAGCTGAGCGCTGTAGCCTGTTTTCTCGCAGGCGACGGTGATCTGGCCGCCGAGCTCCAGAGTCATGGTGCCGTACAGGATGCCTAACGAGAGAAAACACAAAACGATTCTGTGATTAAAGGTCCCCTATTATTCTGTTTTTCATCAATATATTACAGGTCTCTGATTGGCTGAAACACCAAACAGATCATTGCAGCATCCCATAATCCCCTCTGTTTCAGCCCTGTTTCAAAAGTGCTGATTCTCTGTCTGTTACTTTAGATGAAAATAAGGAGCCCCTCCCCACGCCCCTCTGAGAGATATTTGGTTACAAAGAACACAATGGTGCTCTAGGAGGAGATTCAGGTGATAAGGAGGGGGGGGGGGTTATCTTGGTTGCTGATTGGCTAATGATTACACAAGCCAAAACATCGTTATGACATCATAAGAGCCTCTTTACACAGAGGGGACACATGGTGATGTAGAAGAGACATGAAGAAGAGGGGACACATGTTGATGTAGAAGAGACATGAAGAAGAGGGGACACATGTTGATGTAGAAGAGACATGAAGAAGAGGGGACACATGTTGATGTAGAAGAGACATGAAGAAGAGGGGACACATGCTGATGTAGAAGAGACATGAAGAAGAGGGGACACATGTTGATGTAGAAGAGACATGAAGAAGAGGGGACACATGTTGATGTAGAGGAGACATGAAGAAGAGGGGACACATGTTGATGTAGAAGAGACATGAAGAAGAGGGGACACATGTTGATGTAGAAGAGACATGAAGAAGAGGGGACACATGCTGATGTAGAAGAGACATGAGGAAGAGGGGACACATGTTGATGTAGAAGAGACATGAAGAAGAGGGGACACATGCTGATGTAGAAGAGACATGAAGAAGAGGGGACACATGTTGATGTAGAAGAGACATGAAGAAGAGGGGACACATGTTGATGTAGAAGAGACATGAAGAAGAGGGGACACATGTTGATGAAGAAGAGACATGAAGAAGAGGGGACACATGTTGATGTAGAGGAGACATGAAGAAGAGGGGACACATGTTGATGTAGAAGAGACATGAAGAAGAGGGGACACATGTTGATGTAGAAGAGACATGAAGAAGAGGGGACACATGTTGATGTAGAAGAGACGTGAAGAAGAGGGGACACATGTTGATGTAGAAGAGACGTGAAGAAGAGGGGACACATGTTGATGTAGAAGAGACGTGAAGAAGAGGGGACACATGTTGATGTAGAAGAGACGTGAAGAAGAGGGGACACATGTTGATGTAGAAGAGACGTGAAGAAGTGGATTTTGCATAATAGGTGACCTTTAAAATGTTGGAGCAAGAACCGTCAAACATGAGTAACAGGAGAGCTTCGACTGATGTCAGACACTGAAGATATAATGGAAGTTATAGCCGGAGAATTCACATTTTTGAGTCACCATAGGGACACCGTTTCTGCCCAATCAACTCTGAGGTTTTGTCCTCTTTTAATCAAATCAAACTTTATTTGTGTCGCCCATTATCACAACACACGTTTGTCTCAGTGGGCTTTACAGATGAAAAACAAACAACAACATTGTGTATGATGGAGTTGTGGAAAAATTAGAAAACAAAATAAAATAAGATACAAAAAGGACAATAAAAATACATAAAACATTCAAATTAATTACCAATAAAAATAAAATAAAATAAATACCATCAAATGTAAAGACAGAGATACACGAACTGAGGCGAGGATAACGGTGGAGGATTGATAGGAGAATAATTAAATAATCTTCTATCAGGTACATAATTATAATAATAATAATGCATTTTATTTATAGAGTGCTTTTCTTGAAACTCAAACACACGTAAAATATATAAAACACATCATTAATCTACGAGCTCTCTGTGAGTTTGACCTCCTGAAACAGTGCTGAGAGGAGGATAAAAGACGACCTCTGACCTTTACAGTGAGCGTAGGGCATGTTCATCACGTAGTCCTCTCCTCGGTTGAGAAAATTGAGCCGAGCCTCCCCGTCCAATATGGCCGACAGGGAGTTTCCTAAAACGTGAGCGAGAGGAGATTATTGCATTATATCAGTCAGTCTTCATTTTCTGTCAAAGCTGCTCAACAATGAAACTCAATCCTGTGGGGGAAACTTCTGAAGCAATTGGAAAACAGGACTCAGAGAGACACGAGGAGAGCTGGAGCAGCGGTTGCCAAAACAAATAGCTCGAAGTTTTAACTAGTTCGGAGTGTAATAATCAACATTCTTCATCAGTGAGACTAAACAAATATGGACCCTGAATCTAACTAGTGCTCTCGTCCATAGAAAAGAATGTGCGCCAGGGAACCTACGTCCCTGAACAGTAAACTACCTCATGGCGGCTTGTGCTCTGTCACAGACTGGCAACAACAATGCGCCCAAGCTGCCCCTCCTTAAGAGAGATAGCAGCAATAATATAAGGAGGCGTGTGGAGGCAGTGGGTTGTGTGTCGGATCAGGGGGTCACAGGTTCAAACCCCACTGCAGTCAGCATGTCGTTGTGTCCCTGAGACACTTCACCCCAAATTGCTCCTGTGGTGATTCTCCACAGTATTGAGTATGTAAGTCGCTTTGGATAAAAGCATCTAGCAAGTAACATGTAATGTAATGTAATGTAATACCCAAGGCCGTAGACCTATGCCACGGGAAAAGAGACAGTAAAGAGAGAAAACGATGAACTGGGTCGAAGGTTGAATACCTAAGCAAATTAACAAATCCCATCTACAATCAGAGACTACATTTAGATTATTTAAATCCCAAGTCAAAACATGGTTAGTGAGGAATCTTCTGCACCTTACACTACACTGCCTTCGTTTTAACATCACATTACATTACATGTTAGACGCTTTTATCCAAAGCGACTTACATACTCAATACTGTGGGCAATCCCCACAGGAGCAATTTGGGGTGAAGTGTCTCAGGGACACAACGACATGCTGACTGCAGTGGGGTTTGAACCTGTGACCCCCTGATCCCAACACCAACGCACAACCCACTGTACCACACACCTCCATGTTCTTTTCTGTTCTGTTTTTTTATTTTTTATTAAGATTTCTAGTACTGTATGTTGCATGTTTTTATTTGATTGTATTTACTTGTCTTTAGGGTGACTTACAAAATCTAGTCTCTTGGCACATTTACAGAAATGCTGATTAATGTGCACTGTTCCTGTTAAATAAATGAATTTAAAAAAAAGAACAATAGCAGTCAGTGGACAGAAGATAAAGGAATAATCAAGCAGCTGAATTCAAATGAGTAGAGCTGCACAATATCTGAGCAAAAGACACTCTGCAGGACGTCAAGAAACGCATCAACGCCCTGAAAATTAGCGAGGAACAGGAGGAAAATGTAGCTATAAATATGACAATATACTAATTTATATAAATAGTTATCACCGCAATCAACCGTATTTAATTTCGTCTTAATGTACATTATTTAATATCATATTCTGTTCTTGTACATATCATATTCTATTTACATGTATATAGACTTTTTGCACTATTTTTTATTTTGTATTTTTGTATTTTATTATATATGTTGCATTGTTGGAGGAGCTCAGGTCAGAAGAATTTCATTGCCATTTCTACACCGTAGCTTTTGTGCATATGACATTAACACCTTTGAATCTTTGATATTTATTCACTTAATGACGTTAATGAGATTTGAGTGTACCGTAGAACTTGGATTTAGCGAGGATGCTTCCACTGAGGCAGAATCCATCCTTCCTGTTGCTGACATAGAACGCCGAAACAGGAGGATGATGGGATACCTGAAGGAAAAACACATTATTGAGTTAGCTCGAAGGCTACTAGGGACGATACATGGGGACAAATTGGATTTAAATTCAGCTAAAACTACAACAATCTTCATTTTTTTCCCCCCAGACAATGTACTATGGAAGGTATCTGATACAGGTGCATCGAGCTCTTGACCAATCATATGATACGATAATACTTTAATGGTCCGATCAAGTCTGAAATGTGACTTGCTTCACAGCAGCTCCATGTGTAACATCAACATGGACAAATATCAAGACTCAATACATGAGAAACAAACATTGAACATAACAGCACAATCAGTGAGAGGAAAGCTGCTCAAAGAGCCTTCAGCGTGCATCTGATCTGGATTCAGCTCTGTGTTCACTGAGAGGACTGACTGGAGCACACAGGATGCTTCAGTCTGACTTTATTGATCTCAGATTAGATGGTAGCAGTTCAGATTCTCTGTTCAGAACATGCGTTGGGTCCCAGATGATGATGATGTTGTTGGACAGCCTCACGAGGTTATTATTATAATCAGATTGTCATTGCTGTCTTTAGAGCTGCTGTTACCTGTTCTGCGATGTAGAAAGTCTTGCTGTTGGTCTGCTGATGGAGCCACATGCAGCGATACGTCTCTCCAATGATGGGGTTATAAGGCTTCTTCAAACCCTGTGAATTGAAAAACAACGAGAAATATTAGTTTAATATATATAAAATAATGGTAACACTTTATTCTAGGGTACACATATTCGCCATCAACTAGTTGTTAATTAACATGCATATTAGCAGTATATTGGCTTTTTAGTATTAAACACTTATTAATGGGTTATTCTACATGACCTTATTCTACAAGTACTAGGCCATTAGTTAAGAGTTTGTGTCCTTAATAATTAATTAGTGCTTATTTATTGTAAGGAAGTTGTTGTACATGAGAGGGTACATGATAAGGCATTCTCTCATAATAACAAATATGGTCTATAATTATGTTGGGATGGGTACCGTTAAGGCTACTACTTTTATCGATGCCGCTTATCGATCCGGTCTTTTAACGGTACTCTTATCGCCGGTTCTTTTGGAGAAAAAAATAACAAAACTAACATTGCTTTTTATTTAAATTAAATACATAATATTTCACATCAAAAGAAACAACAGTGTTTTAACAAATGTTATTACATGGCTTATAGTTGAATACTCGATTCTGATTGGCCAATTCAGAACACGTGACACGTTGTTAATCCAGAACAGACAGACCGCTGTCAAGGACTTATTGACCGTTGTTAAGGACGCTCACATCTGCACAAATAAGTCCGGTCGATTGAACTGTATGCAGTTTTGGCCGAAAAGCAAACTGCATGCAGTTTGCTTTTCTAACTGACAAGACAAGAGCGACAAGAAAACAGCGGAGACGTAACTGGCAGAAACCCTCCTTTTTACGCAGCGGTCCAGACATAGACATCAAACGGCGACACATATTCAGTTGCCAGTTACTTTGGCATTAGGGCAGGGATATCTAGATACTTCCCAAGGTTTGACATAATGAATTGTGCTAATTTTAAAGCAAGCAACGATGTTTTCAAATCTGTAATCAAAAAGCTCCGCCTTCCTGCCGTTGCGTTGCTCCGTTTTTTTTTTCAAACAGTAACAACGGACTATTTTCCTTAGCGGATGCATGTCAATTTAAATCAATACATACAACTATTTTTTAAATGAATAAAATCATTTTCTAAATCCAAAAAAGCATTTCAATTAATATTGGGAGTCATATCGTTACTTTGTTGAGAATGTGGCCATGTAATAAGCGGGATAATGTGCAGAGACGCGGTCATTATGGGGAAAAGAACACCTTCATGCAGATCTAGATCCCTCCGCTTCGCGTCGGGCTCCTGATCAGCCTGTCTGTGTTCTTTTGCCCATAATGACCGCGTCGCTGCACATTATCCCTTACATATTAAATAATCTGATGACAGAACTGTAAACAGAATAGCTGACACTTTAAAAAACTAAATAACTCAGTTCCCTCTAATCATTAACCCATGTTTGAATAATGAGTTAACTCCGTGTGTTGCTGCTAGCATACATAACACCTGACGTGGAAACGTTACTCGTGGATGGGGCTACAGAGCTACTAGAGAGACAGTCGAACCCGGTGCATTTCTCCGTCTGGATGTGGAGCACTTTTGATAAATGTTTAGACAAACTGCTCGTGTTACCGCCCTGACATGCTAAACTCTAATTGCACTTTTGGTAACGAGCATTGTCCACATCGAGACGGGTAAAGTTTAACCACACCTCGGAGCGCGTTCTCTCCATGTGTGTGTTGCTGCATCATGTAGCAGCTGTGTGTGTGTAAACTGCCCCGCCCCCTCACACACAGACAGAGAGAGATCTCTCGTCTGGATTGGAAAGATTGAAAATACTCAAAATAATCATAGACTCATTTTGTAGTCTTCTTGCATATTAGAAACAGAGTTGGCGACACTAAAACTGCAATATAATGTTTGTGTAGCAATAATACACATGACATATATTTTTTACATGTCTCCAGTACCGATAAAAACACCGATAACGTTGGAGCTTAACGGTACCACGGTCTTTAATAATTCAGCCCCGGGGCCCGTTTAATACCGGGGCTCGGTACCCATCCCTATTCTTATGTAACAAGACGTGAAACTACAAGTGTTAATTGTGTCAAAATAACTAAAAATGACGTATTTCTTACTCAGAATATGTTCCCTATTTTAAAGTGAAGTCTTGTTCATAACCAATAAGCTAGTAGTTTGACTCTAATATGTTAGCGAACAACTAGTTGATGGTGAATAAGTGTACCTTAATCTAAAGTGTTACCAAAATAATATATATCAGGTATGCTGTCTGTAGGTCATTGATATAAAGTGAATTGTTATACTCCTGACCTTTGGCTTTTTGTAAAATCCAGAGATATACCACTTCACCACCTTCTTCATCCGGTTGTAAGCGTTCTCTTCGATCGCAGCTCTGAGAATAAAACAAACAAACACATCCTTGATTACATGAACAGTTTAACTTAGGGACTTTGATCTGCTATTACAAAATACACTAGTCGCTGAAGTATCCACAGAAGTTCTTCACAGTCAGGAAGACATCCTGATTATTGTTTAATAACGTCTTCTGGCACACTGTTGGCATTGGACTATTACAAACACCAAGGAATTCATGAAAGTAAACAGAGAAAAAGCGTATGTTGTGATGTCCGATACAAAATAAACGACCGGGGACTCATAAGGAAATGTAGAATAATATCATTGCTAAATCAAAAAGCATAACAAACAATCAGATGATGTTTGCATGTACTGTGTTGCAAAATCTGCACTTTTCACCAATTTTGAATTCCTTGTCAAAAAACTATTCAAGGCTGTAAAGGGAATGGTTTAATACTTCTGTATTAATTAGGGCTGTCGATTCAATTCATCTGAAAACCTTAATGCAGGGGGGTCAAACTCAATTTCATCGCGGGCACATTAGCATTAAAGTTGCACTCAAAGGGCCGGTTGTAACTTTAAGACTAAATAAATATATATAAAACTATGTATTATATTACATGATTGCCTCTGCATTGGATTATTATTTTTTTGTTCTTCTTGTGTGTCAGTCATCCACACCAATCAGAAGTGCTGTGCTCTACATGTACCAGTCATTGTTAACCAATCAGAAGCGGCCCATGACAGAAGGTGATAGACAGATTGATCCAATCACCTGCCAAGTATTTTTGAAATACTTTTCCAAATGGCTTCCAATGGAGCTCTCCTAGATGGTCTGGTGAAACCATCTGAGTCAGGTTAGTAATGCTCCATCACATGTTTCTATGACAGGGTGAGTCTGAAACTGAAGCTTGACTTTAAAGCAACCCAACGTTTAAGTTTCATGTAAGTTTAGTTCTTTCACTCGTAGCTCGGGCTGCGGGGGTGCTAGAGACGGGAGCACATTGATGCGACCGTCCTAGCCGGAGATATGGCCGCATTTTACAATAAACTTCCGTTGGGTTGCTTAAAAACAAATATCGCAAATCAAATCGCAATATCTGTCAGAAAAATCTCAATTAGATTATTTCCCCAAATCGTGCAGCCCTAGTAATAACTTCATAATTAACCACGTCTGAAAGCAGAAGTCTAGGGCAAATAATTGCAAAATTGGCCCCCGGGCCTTGAGTGCATGGGAGATAAAATAAATATTTCATAAATCATGAAAGTACAAACCCTCTGATTTCTATTGAGTTTGCAATGCATTTCTTTAGTACAACACCACACATGTTTGTGTTTTATCTCTCCCAAATACCAGGTAATACTAGTATTTCAAACTTGTGATACATGATGATTAATCACAGGGTTATTATTGAAATGTTCTGGCGAGTGTTGAAGGTCTTACTCTGACAGGACGTCTGTGAACGTGTACAATTTGCTATTATAAAATGATCTTGACCCAGAATGTGGTTTCATTTCTTTTGGGAGTAGCAACTGTTGGCATTGCATATTACAAACACTGAGGAGTTACTGGTGAATGAATGAAACTAATGGCGCGTTTCCACTACACGGCCTCGCTCGGCCCCGCTCGGTATGGCTGGGCCTCGTTAGGACTGGCTCACTTTATGGCGCATTTCCATTACAGTTTAGGAACTGGGGCAGTATCTATAGTAACGCAGTGTAGGCGGAGCCGTGACGTGATCTTCAGAGGACCCCAGAAAAAACAACACAGCCGTTAGCTGTTAGCACTCAGAGCTCACAGCTCCTCATATCTGTTCAGAAACTAGACAAAAGTGAAACAAGTACAAACCACAGACTGCCTGTGTCATGGTGAATACAGTCGCTGCTTTATTTATGTCTGTAGGCCGTTGTTGTGAGTGTGGACGGTCGGAGCATATATTGAGTTAGCTTAGCCAATCTCCATTTAGAAAACACGCATTTTAAAAGGTTTTTCGCCTGCCGTCTGTCTGCAGACTTGTCAAAGCATTAATTCATGGTTTTTACTAACCGGTATCAGTATGTTGTTACTTCGGCATCATTTTGAAACGTGTATTACAATTAAATCACGGTCAAATATGTCCATCTTGTTGTAGTTGTAGCCCCCTTACAAGCGATGCTCTCTCTAGTTTAGCATACTCAGCCCGACTCAGCCTCGTTGTCTCTGGCCCTAGACCCGCGATTTTATGAGGCCAGAAAAACTGTGAATTAGGACCCGCCGGCCGGTACTAGGCCAAGTGGAAACGCAACCAAAGACGGGCCGCTGACGTCACAGCCCTCTTAAACCGGGCTGCGCGCTGTAGTGGAAACGCGCCATAAACAAAGACATGGCTTCTGATTTTAACTACAAAACAAACAACTGGGGACACTCAAGTCTGGAGTTACTAAAAACGTAATCATGATTAATCACAGGGATATTATTTAAATGTTCTGGCGAGTGGTGCAGGTCTTACTCTGACAGGAAGTCGGCGTGGTAGTAGTAGTCGGAGAGTTTGTCCAGAAAGGACCGTGGCTCCAGGATGAAAGTGGGCAGAACCACTTTGGAGAGATCCATGCCGGGTCGCACCTGCTTCAGAAGAGTCCAGATCAGAGATTTATTCTCCTCCGACACCGTCTCCGTCTGCGCCGCCTCACCCGCCTGGAGAGAGGGAGACACACACAGGGTTTAATTAGCTCCTAACAAACATGTTGCCTCGGCCTCAGTAGGCGTTTAATTAGAGCCTGTTGCTCTTCCCAAAAGCCCCAGCAAAGGACCATGCTAATTCCTCCTCATTATGCACGGACAAAATAGCTTTCAGCTGGAGTTTAAAGATAAGGATTCTAGGAGAATTTGGTACAATGCTGCAAACTCGCTTGATCTATGTCTCCTGAATAAGCCCTTATCCTGCTTTTTAGAAATGAAGCCTGAAAAGTCACTAAATCTAGTGATAAAGTTGTTAAATTGGCGACTAATCTGAAACCGATAAAGCTGTAGATCGACTGATTCCCGTCACTGACTTTCCGATTGGTTTATATCTAAAGAATCTTAGAGAAGACTTGAATGAAACTCTTCGTGCCGTACCTCTCCGAGCTCCTCGTGGGATTGTTCCAGATACGGTGTTTCCCTCAGATGTTCGTTGGGGTCCAGGTCGATGTACGAGTCGTCTTGGCGCTCCGACGTGTCGCTGTCGCTCTCCTCGCTCTTCTCCAGACCTTCGGGGTCCGACTCCTCGTGGTCCTGTTCCCCCTCACGGTCAGATTTATCCGAATACAGGTCCGGGTCTTTCAGATGGTCGCTGTCGTTGAACCTGGAGGAGATGTTGACAACAAATCATTTAGTAAAAAAGTTTGGTAGCTTAAAGGTCACCTATTATGCAAAATCCACTTTTTTAAAGGTATTTTATACATACACATGTGTCCCCTCTGTGTAAAGAAATTCTGACGTTTCTCAAAATTCTGACTTGTTCTCAAAATCTTAAAATTGGCTCTTTTTTTTTCTGGAAATCAAAAAATTCTGACTTGTTGTCAAAATGTTTGACTTTTTGTCAAAATGTTTGACTTTTTGTAAAATTCAGACTTTTTGTAAAATTCAGACTTTTTCTAAACAATTCTGACTTTTTCTGAAAATCTCAACATTCTGACTTTTTCAGAATATTTAAAAATGATGTACACACAAAAATCGAACGGTACTCGAACAGCGCAGACCTCCGCCAATGCAACTGCAGCGAACATGAAACTAAAGTCGTGGATCCGCCCTGTGATCTGGATCGTTCCAAAACGTAATGGTTTCGTCCTTTGCCCATTCCACATCTTTCGCACCAAAACATAGCGTATTTTCCGGACTTTTTTTCCCCAAGCTCATAAAATAAATCTGAGTCGCACATAAATCGGCAGGGTCGGTCGGAAACCGGAAAGAAACAATATTTTCTTTTAGGCCTAATCATACATCCTGTCATGCACACAGCTACAGTTGGGATACCTTTGTTATCATGTGTACTCTGATATTGGAAGAGTACATTCAGTATTTTCCCAACAAAGGTGTTTTTGTTTGCTACTCACTGGAAGCCGTGGATGTTGTGTGCTCGGAGGAGGCTGTAGAAGTTAATGGAGTGTTCTCCTCCGGTAGCAACTGTGCTCATGTCCTCTTTCCCCTCTCGGATCATGGTCCTCTTCAGCAGGCTGGAGCACTTCAGCGCCAGCTCTAAGGCGTCCATCCAGCATCGACCTGGAGACACATTCAGTTTGATTAAAACACACTCTTTAGGCGCGTTCACACCGCAGTACCACTTTAGTTCCGATATAGTAACCTTTCCACCCCCTTTTCCGTCCCTGCTAGAGAGCAGGTACTTTCGTGGGAGAAAAAGGTTCCTATGTCTGATTGGCTGGGCGGATTGCAAACCACGCCCCGTAAAACTCCCAAAAGGTTTTGTGAAGCCGCCATTTTATTATCCTTGCATTAGGATTATTAGCATTAGCATTAGCCCAGCGCAGAAACGCAGAGAGACTAACTTATGGCAACACAAAAGAAAACATGGGAGCGGTGGAAATGAGGAGGTGTCGGCGTTCTGGCGATTTACTCTGAAGGCTTCAGTAGAAGCTTCTGGGAGTCCCAGCAGCTTCTACTGAAGCCAGCCCCCAACTCCGGGGACTTCCGGCCGGGGACTCCGGGTGGCAGTATACGCCGTGAAGTTGTTTGCGGCCTGCCAGTAAACCCAAAGCAGAAGAAGACGACGTGACGTCAGCGGCTTCATTTGCCTAATCCTCCCTCAGGGACTTATTCCGGTGTGAACGCGGTCTGTACTTAGTTCATCAGAACTAAAGAGTTCTCATGAACTAAGTACGACAAAGTACTTGGTGTGAAAGCGCCTATAGGGATGTACGACATAGATTTGCAGGCTTTGCTGTTGGTTCATTATACTTCTTTCAATATTGTTACGTTCCCTCCAAAACTAGGGGTACAAAGGGAAGTAACAAAATATAAACTGAGGAAACTGATTTGGCAAAATTATTAGATAATGTTTAATTACTAAGAACAACTTTCTCCTAAAAGAAAGTGACTAAAGTTAAACTAACAGGTCTCAGAGACACCACACTTTAAATTATTTAGGCTCTTTTATCCACACATTAAACCTGGTTACAGTTCAGAATGAGTTCCAACACTTTAAAATGGTTCCAATTCTTATATTTAAATCAATAAAGAGGGCAAAGTGTTTTTTAAAATGCAATAAAAACTCAATTTCTACAAGAAAATGTAAGTAAAAGTTTTCCTTTGCATTCTTCTATATATAAATATATCTGCAATATATAATACACCATTTTTGATTTAAAAATGATGATGAAAAGAAGGGGAGTTCTATTATGGGCTAAAAATAACAAGTGATTCTTGACAGTTTGACTATTTCAGCACCACGGAGAGAGACTCAGACAGCAAGAGAGTTGATGGATGTTTCAGCACCATGGACAGAGACACATCTTAACCATCCAATACTTCACCATTTATTCACTAAGTCAAAAAGTTTCCACATATATCAAATGCAGTGAGATTGATTTAAATAAAAGCGATCAGAAAGCGATCAAATTATATCCCAAATGATTTTTTTACCAGATTTAAAACTGTGTGATTGCTAGAAATGTTAAATATTCTACCTCTGTTGTTACTTTGCATACTTAAAAGGCAGTATAGTGACCGTGAGAAGTCCTTTTGTTTACCGTTTGGATAATTTAGGGTTTTGTTGATTAAACTCTTTGTGTCTGTTGTTGTTGTGCCCAATCAGGGAGTAGCATTGCATGTTGTGTCTATGTTAAGATCATATATTCACTTACCATCGGATTCAGAGGCAGCGCGGAAGATGAGGTGGCTGCCGGGTAATGGTTGAGTGATGGAGCCGACTGCTTCTCCTTTAGGACCCTGAGGACAGCACATAAAGGAGGAAATACATATTTATTTGTTTGTTTGTTTGTTTATTCCACACATGGCAGATAACACAGTAAAATAAAAGATGGGTTATATATAAGGTCATCCTACATATTACAATAATACAGTCCAATATACTTAGGAAAAATATTCAGTTACTGCAATGTTCAGATCCATTATTTATTTATTTTTAAATAAAGGTGAATATATTCTTGTATTAATATCACTCTACAAGCATAAAGTTACATATATTATCTTTTAATTTTCGGTCTTTTACAGTGGACGTACTGTCAAATTCCAAAAATAAATAGGTACTGTGAGGGAAACTTCTGAAGCAATGGGAGTCAGGACTCAGAGACACACGAGGAGAGCTGGAGCTTTGATGGCAAACACTGACGGTTTATTTGGAGCTTCGGCCGGAGAATTCACAAGACATGTCACGAGTCTGACCACACGGATGAGATGCCACAATCAATTCTGAAGAAACCTTCCTCTCGTATGATGTTTTAACTAGTTTCGCTGAGGGTAATCAACATTCTTCAATAGATAGACTAAACAGCTGAGGACACTGAATCACATTTGTTGTCGCTTATGGCTCGGGGTCATCTACACCCCGAGAAGGATGTGTTCCAGGTGTCCCACAACAATAAGTATCTCTGACCGAGAGTTGCCCGGTCACAAACTGGTAACAACAACAACGTGCTAGGGCAGCCCCTCCTTAAGTGAGATAGGGGCTGCTCAAGGCTGGTCAGCTGCGTCAGAGGGCGAAAGGTAAACATGTAGGGGAAATTATTCCCTGACAGGTAGGAAATCACCAAAAAAAAGCAAATTGGAAGACACTTTTTTTTCTCTGGTTCCCAGGAGGGTTTTATATTTTATGTTGGCAGTTATTTTAAAGGTCACCTATCATGCTATTTGTAGGCAATAGCATAGGTCTCAGATATATAAAAATATATAAAAAACATGTCTATGAAGTGTTTTGCTCAAAATACCAAACAGATCACCCATTCTAGCCATGCCTCATATCCCTCTATTTCACTTCCTGTTTCAAAAGTGCTGAGGAGGGGTCTGAGCTCATGCGGGACCCGGCAGCTACTGTCTAAACTAAATACTGCCGTGATGAAACGCCATATCATGGATTATCAAGGATTGTTTCTGAAACAGTATGGAGCTCAAAGGCTTTCTCTCTTGCCGGTTATACCACAAGGTGAGTTCCTTTTTATTTCCTGCTTCTTCACACACATGCTCTCCAGTACAGGTTAGCTCTGAGTGTTAGCGATGCTAATGTAAACACCGACCATATTACGTCCAAAACAGTCGGGCATTGTTTCTGATAGCAACGTTTCTGATAGGGCCGTGGGTCCACATTTCAGATATTACGTCATATCGGACGCAAATCTGGATCAGCTCCGTTGTAGCCCGTTTTTAGAGATTTGGGTACGGAGGAAAAGAGAGAGGGTTTTATTTTCTGACGCTGCGTGAGTTCCCCGACACACCGGGGACACATATTGATATATAAAAGACATCAACAAGTGCATTTTGCATGATAGGTCCCCTTTAAAGACAAAACATGTAGACTTATACTGTTTTTTTGTTTTTTTTTAAAGCGCATGGTGGAAAGGAGCAGGGAGAAGAACATCTTATTTTACCTGCCCCTTCTTAAAAGAAAAAAAAGAATTAAATTAAATAACCATTAAAAAGTCAAATAAAAGCAATATTCTTTCAGTCACAGTTGCTTACAAATACTGAAACATAAAACCAGAACACAATCAAAAGCCAACTTCATACTGTCTAATCACGCTTTCTTTATACATTTTCTTAAACATAAAAATGTTCTTACAGCCCTTTAAATCATTTGGCAAAGAATTCCACTTCTTTATGCCAAGAGACACACACCTGCTTTAAAGTAGTACGTGCAAACTGATGCTTAACATTTAATTTCCTCCTATGATGCTCATCCTCTGAAATGAATTCGTCCTTTGTGTCATTTGAGGCGGTTTCATGATTACTTCCTGCTGTGTGTGTGTGTGTGTGTGTGTGTGTGTGTGTGTGTGTGTGTGTGTGTGTGTGTGTGTGTGTGTGTGTGTGTGTGTGTGTGTGTGTGTGTGTGTGTGTGTGTGTGTGTGTGAAACTAACCAGTCATGTTTCAATAATAAGAATAAGAATTGTGTAGCAGAGTTTCCGTTAGCAGGTAATTACCGGACTATGAGCGGATATGCTGAGGTTTAAAACTCAGTTAATGGGAGTCATTTTGATATTGCTTCAGTTTATAATCGTAACAGATCGAAAAGTTCAGATTCATTTTTCAATAAATGATGCGCTTCCACAAACAACATAATTATTACATTCAAACAAACTACTTGTAACTCTCTCTCTCTCTCACGGTAATTACCGGCTAACGGAAACCCTGAGGTGTGTGTGTGTCTGTGTGTCTGTGTGTGTGTCTGTGTGTGTGTCTGTGTGTCTGTGTGTCTGTCTGTGTGTCTGTGTGTCTGTCTGTCTGTGTGTGTGTCTGTGTGTGTGTCTGTGTGTCTGTCTGTGTGTCTGTGTGTCTGTCTGTGTGTCTGTGTGTCTGTGTGTGTGTCTGTCTGTGTGTCTGTGTGTCTGTCTGTGTGTCTGTGTGTCTGTCTGTGTGTGTCTGTGTGTGTGTCTGTGTGTGTGTCTGTGTGTGTGTCTGTGTGTCTGTCTGTGTGTCTGTCTGTCTGTGTGTCTGTCTGTGTGTCTGTGTGTCTGTGTGTCTGTCTGTGTGTCTGTCTGTGTGTCTGTGTGTGTGTCTGTGTGTCTGTGTGTCTGTCTGTGTGTCTGTGTGTGTGTCTGTGTGTCTGTCTGTCTGTCTGTCTGTGTGTCTGTGTGTCTGTCTGTCTGTGTGTCTGTGTGTCTGTGTGTCTGTCTGTGTGTCTGTGTGTCTGTGTGTCTGTGTGTGTGTCTGTGTGTCTGTGTGTCTGTCTGTGTGTCTGTGTGTGTGTCTGTCTGTCTGTCTGTCTGTCTGTCTGTGTGTCTGTGTGTCTGTCTGTCTGTGTGTCTGTGTGTGTGTCTGTGTGTGTGTCTGTGTGTCTGTGTGTCTGTGTGTCTGTCTGTGTGTCTGTGTGTCTGTGTGTCTGTCTGTGTGTCTGTGTGTCTGTGTGTCTGTGTGTGTGTCTGTGTGTCTGTGTGTCTGTCTGTGTGTCTGTGTGTCTGTCTGTGTGTCTGTCTCTCTCTCTCTCTCTCAAACGGTAATTACCGGCTAACGGAAACCCTGAGGTGTGTGTGTGTGTGTGTGTGTGTGTGTGTGTGTGTGTGTGTGTGTGTGTGTGTGTGTGTGTGTGTGTGTGTGTGTGTGTGTGTGTGTGTGTGTGTGTGTGTGTGTGTGTGTGTGTGTGTGTGTGTGTTTCTTGTGTAACGTGTGCAAACAAAGAGAAACCTAGACTCCCCAGAGAGTCAGTATGCAAAATATCTATGAGAGGGGCCAGATGGTCAGAGAGGTCAGTGATGAATACCAAATGGCAGATGGAGGGGACTGAAAGGAGCTTAAAAACAAAGGAACAAATGGAAATTGAAGTGCGGCTGAATATGAAAATTGCTGGATGGATGTACTAGTAAATTAAACAAAGCTGAGAGAAAGAGCTCTTAATTATACAGCCACTATTGTTGTTCATTTTGTTTTGTCCATCTCTAGAGAACAAACAGAATGCATTCAAATCCCCCTTTAGCATCGTCGTCTTTTTTAATCTATTAACACTCTTAAATCCTTCAAAAAATCTCTCAAAACTCACTTATAATTCACTCTAGCTTTCAAACACTGATCAACACACACTTTACTCGCACTTGGATTAGGATTACTGTTTATGTTTTTTGTAAAGCGTTTTTGAGCACTCGAAAAAGCGCTATAAAAATCTAATGTATTATTACTAATAGTTAAACTCCTTATTCTGAATCTTAAGGTATGTTATATCCAGAGGGGGAAGTAGTGGAGTACAAATACTTCGTTACTGTACTTAAAGGGGACCTATCATGCAAAATGCACTTTTGTACGTCTTTTATACATGAATATGTGTCCCCGGTGTTCCAGGGAACTCACCAAGTGTCAGAAAACACAACCCTCTCTATTTTCCTCCATACCCAAATCTCTAAAAAAGGGGCTGCAACGGATCTGATAAAAACTGATCCAGATTTGAACACTGTCCTGACGTCAGGACGGTGGTGCTACGGCTATTGGGCCAACTCCACCAATCAGGAGGAGACAGCCACGGCCATTGCCGTTCGAAAGCGCTGGAGACGCTGTAGTACATATGCCAGGCCTGTAGGTGGTGCTGTTCTCACTGAATCAACCCTTACACAAACAGAGCTAGAAATGTTCAAATTGAGCAAAATGAGGCATGGCTAAAATGCATGATCTGTTTGGTATTTTGAAGAAAAAAAAAGTATAAATATGCCTTATATAGGTATGGCCCTACACTATATTATTCAAATATAGCATGATAGGTCCACTTTAAGTACATTTTTCTGGTATCAGTACTTTACTCCACTACTTATTTTTCTGACGACTTTTTACTTTGACTTCTTACATTTTGAACACAAATACCTGAACTTTCTACTTCTTACATTTTGAACACAAATACCTGTACTTTCTACTTCTTACATGTTGAACACAAATACCTGAACTTTCTACTTCTTACATGTTGAACACAAATACCTGAACTTTCTACTTCTTACATGTTGAACCCAAATACCTGTACTTTCTACTTCTTACATGTTGAACACAAATACCTGTACTTTCTACTTCTTACATTTTGAACCCAAATACCTGTACTTTCTACTTCTTACATTTTGAACCCAAATACCTGTACTTTCTACTTCTTACATGTTGAACCCAAATACCTGTACTTTCTACTTCTTACATTTTGAACACAAATACCTGTACTTTCTACTTCTTACATGTTGAACACAAATACCTGTACTTTCTACTTCTTACATTTTGAACCCAAATACCTGTACTTTCTACTTCTTACATGTTGAACACAAATACCTGTACTTTCTACTTCTTACATGTTGAACACAAATACCTGTACTTTCTACTTCTTACATGTTGAACACAAATACCTGTACTTTCTACTTCTTACATGTTGAACACAAATACCTGTACTTTCTACTTCTTACATGTTGAACACAAATACCTGTACTTTCTACTTCTTACATTTTGAACTCAAATACCTGTACTTTCTACTTCTTACATGTTGAACACAAATACCTGTACTTTCTACTTCTTACATGTTGAACTCAAATACCTGTACTTTCTACTTCTTACATGTTGAACACAAATACCTGTACTTTCTACTTCTTACATGTTGAACACAAATACCTGTACTTTCTACTTCTTACATTTTGAACTCAAATACCTGTACTTTCTACTTCTTACATGTTGAACACAAATACCTGTACTTTCTACTTCTAACATGTTGAACTCAAATACCTGTACTTTCTACTTCTTACATTTCCCAAACAGGCTGGTTCCTTTAGTTTGAATGTGTGTTTGGTGGCGTGATCATTATTATTTAGAGTCATTGCGTGCCTATTGATTTGAACACGATCCGTGTATCCATAATTTCCTGGTCTTCTCTAAAGAAGAGGGACCAATGAAAACGTTGTCATGTTGCCGTTGTTCAGCATGGAAACATTCATTAGCTAACAATGACATTATTGTTCTATTAATATAAAGGGAGGTCAGGTACTCTTTAAAACAGCTGCTAGTTATGGGTACTTTTTACTTAAGAACATTTCAAAGCCCTCTTTACTTTGACTTGAGTAAAGAAGTTTAGTCAGTACTTCTACTTTCACCAGAGTATTTTTAAACACGATCATCTGTACTTCTACTTGAGTAAAGGATGTGTGTACCCTCTCTGCCTCTCACCTTGACGGCCCAGATGGACTGCTCCAGCGGGTGGAAGAGTTTGAAGCAGAATCCATCTTTCTTGGACGGCCTCTCGATGAGCTCGCAGGCGTTCAGCAGCACCGTGCCGACCCACTGCCCGTTCTTGTGGGTTTTGTAGATGAGCAGGACGCCTGGTTTCAGAACGCACCACAGCTTGGTCCAGCTCTTCAGAGTGCCGCGGATCTGCATCAGAAACAGAGAAACTGTGAGAAACGTTGCCTTCTGTGATAGGCTACATGGAGAGGACTCACATTAGGCAAACTGGAAATGCTTTTATATTGTAGAACCAACAAATAAAGATGAAATATTAACTGAGGGGTGGAAAAATGGATGTATAAAGAGAACAGGATACAGTTTAAGAGGCAGGTTACTCCTATACACGTTGCTTTTGGAGGTAAGAAATGTGATTAATAACAGGATTACAATGCCACAATACATTTAAAAATAAAGATGAATATATTATAAGGAGACGTACTGCCTGCATTTTCTTTCTGGTTTTCATTTAAGCTACATTTATTCTTCTTTATTATATATATTTTTTTTATTTAATACAGTACAGTAGGTGGACAAAAATACAGTGTTTGCTTGTTATTAATGTGCCAGCATTTTTTAACGATCCTATTTTGTGACCTATCCTATATTAATTATATAAAAGGGCACATTTTTGATCCTAAATATCTTTATAATGTTTTTTCTCTTATAAGGTGACATTGTTCTATTGTCTTACATAATACACTACAATTACATGTCATTGCATTTGATATGGAGGTTATCCATAAGTTACAAATATATACATTGTGATACATAGATTTTAAACATGTAACTACTAACAGAATACAATTTAAAGTAACCCTCTGAAGCCTAATGCAGACGTCTCTTTACCAATATGAGTCAATAGGAAAAAGTCATTTTGGGCCCAAATGACGTCAGAAACTAGAACTGAAGTGTAGTACCATCGTCTGGCCACTAGGAAAATGTGCTCCATGCACTCTTTTCAAGTTCAAGGTTCAAGGTTCTTTATTGTCAAACTGACATAGCTACAGAGTAATTATGTAGTTGAAAATCTTATGTCACAGGCTTCTCCAACAATGCAACATAATAACAATACAGATAGCAAGAGCAATACAAAAAGAAAAATAGTTATAAAATAAAGTGAGCATGTGGAATAGTGCAGTACGAGTCTATATACAAGTTATTGGAATGATATATATTAGATATTAGATACATATTACTGAGTAGCAGATGAATGTTTTTGAAGTTGTTTCAGCAGTTCAATGGTTTAACAGTCTCACTGGAAGCAACTGTCTCCGAATCTTCTTGTCTAGTTCTAGAGTGTGAGATGTTCCCACCTTTAGCCAGTCGGCCATCACTATGACGGAGGGGTCAGTGATGGTGCTGAGCAGCTCCTTGGTCGCCCTCTTCTTTTCCTCCCTGTAGTTTTTCTTCTGCACCTACACAGAGCACACACACACACACATGAATATATTTAACACCTTCAGAGCTGCTACCCTTTAAGGAAGAGCGACTATCAGCTGATTCCGCTCACTTACCTTGAGGGACTCCTTCTTGGTGAGCTTTCCTCCGGATGCAGACACGTCTTTGTCGGAGCCATTGTACAGCTTTGTTTCAGACTGAATACACACAGAGGGCAAGAAATATGATTAACACTATAGCAGATTGTTAATCAACTGTGACACACACAAACACACACGTCCCTCAAAGACTGCAGACACAAATTCATATACAGATTCATTGATCTTTTGCTTTTTAGTTTACATGTAATTATTGATGACCAAGCAAAATCTGTAAATTGTGTAACTTTGTCCATTTGTATTTAGCTAGTGCCGTCTACTTTTGTTTTCTCATGTTTTACTGTTATGAGCGTGTTCATTGCTGCTTTATTTTGGGGTTCATTTGTGAGTTTCTCCCCTATGGTCTGAGGGTCTAAGGACAAAGGGTGTATGCTGCAAACAGAGCCCCCAGTTGTACAAACTGTAAAGCCCCCCGTCAAATGTGTTATTTGTGATAAAATGCTGTAAAAATAACATTTGATTTGATTGATTGACTGATAAAGAGCTTTTGAATCTCTGGCTTGGTTATCCTGTCACACGCTTTAGAAAAACTAAACATAGTTTGATTTCCATCTCTTCTGAGCCTCGGGGAGACTCAGACACACTTTTGCTAAACATTGTTTTTGATCTCCACTCCTCGCCGCCGCCGCCGCCGCCTCCTCCACCTCACTGACCTCTCTTTAAACAAGTGCCGAGTCGATAAATGTTTGATGTGTTTATGAGTCGTCTGAACGTGGGCTTTCTCCTGCCTGAGGCAAGTCTCAGAAAGGGAAGAAGTAGCGCAGTAATTCTTATTTTCTTTCCAGTCTACAACACATCCACACAAAAGCACCAAATGCTTCCTGCCCACTCGTCATGGAGGGGTTTCCTCACCTTGCTCTTAGATATGGAGTGAGAGTCCTCCTTCAAAGGCAGAGCCAGGAGGTCTTCCTTCCCTCTCTCGAAACCTGTAACACAAAACAACATTATTAAAGGTCACCTATTATGCAAAATCCTCTTCTTCATGTCTCTTCTACATCAACATGTGTCCCCTCTTCTTCATGTCTCTTCTACATCAACATGTGTCCCCTCTTCTTCATGTCTCTTCTACATCAACATGTGTCCCCTCTTCTTCATGTCTCTTCTACATCAACACGTGTCCCCTCTTCTTCATGTCTCTTCTACATCAACATGTGTCCTCTCTTCTTCATGTCTCTTCTACATCAACATGTGTCCCCTCTTCTTCATGTCTCTTCTACATCAACATGTGTCCCCTCTTCTTCACGTCTCTTCTACATCAGCATGTGTCCCCTCTTCTTCATGTCTCTTCTTCATCAACATGTGTCCCTCTTCTTCATGTCTCTTCTACATCAACATGTGTCCCCTCTTCTTCATGTCTCTTCTTCATCAACATGTGTCCCCTCTTCTTCATGTCTCTTCCACATCAACATGTGTCCCCTCTTCTTCATGTCTCTTCTACATCAACATGTGTCCCCTCTTCTTCATGTCTCTTCTACATCAACATGTGTCCCCTCTTCTTCATGTCTCTTCTACATCAACATGTGTCCCCTCTTCTTCATGTCTCTTCTACATCAACATGTGTCCCCTCTTCTTCACGTCTCTTCTACATCAGCATGTGTCCCCTCTTCTTCATGTCTCTTCTTCATCAACATGTGTCCCCTCTTCTTCATGTCTCTTCTACATCAACATGTGTCCCCTCTTCTTCATGTCTCTTCTTCATCAACATGTGTCCCCTCTTCTTCATGTCTCTTCTACATCAACATGTGTCCCCTCTTCTTCATGTCTCTTCTACATCAACATGTGTCCCCTCTTCTTCATGTCTCTTCTTCATCAACATGTGTCCCCTCTGTGGAAAGAGACTCTGAAAGTTTCAGGAACAAAGATTCTCTCTCTTTTTGTCCTGATCCATTTATATAAAAACCTGTCTGATCAGATTTTGGCCACTTTATGTCATAACGATGTTTTGTCTTGTGTAACCATTAGCCAATCAGCAACCAAGGTAACCCCCGCCCCCCCCTTATCACCTGAATCTCCTCCTAGAGCACCATTGAGTTCTTTGTAACCAAATATCTCTCAGAGGGGCGTGGGGAGGGGCTCCTTATTTTCATCTAAAGTAACAGACAGAGAATCAGCACTTTGGAAACAGGGCTGAAACAGAGGGGATTATGGGATGCTGCAATGATCTGTTTGGTGTTTCAGCCAATCAGAGACAGGCTCTGTATATATCTGAGACCTGTGATATACTGATGAGAAACAGAATAATAGGGGACCTTTAAGAAAATTAAGTAATATTTATTTTGAAATTGGTCTTTTTTATTTCTTAATCGTTTAACCTTTATTAGAATTATGGCATTTTTATTACTATTATTTTTATTTTTGTATTTCTGTTGTACCTATATGTTCACTTTGTTTTATGGGGTTTTATATTTTATATTGTTGCAGTTGTCTTGTGTCTTATCTGTCAGAGAGAACCCATTATTTATTATCATACCTTTTACCTCCTTGTGTCTCTTAACCTGATCAAATGTTATATTTTGCTGCATGCACCTTTTCAACATTCAACAAATAATCTGAGGGTAATTTCTTGTTGTGTGTTTTTATCTTGTGATGTGTCGCCATTTTGTAAAGCACTTTGAGCTGCTTGTGGTGTATGGAAAGTGCTATATAAATAAAGCTTTATTATTATTAAGAGGTCATTCAGCAGGGAGCCCCCCCCCCCCCCCCCCCCCTGCTGATCGAGTATCTCAACTGATTATGTCTCAGGGCCCTTATTAAAATGGATGTGTGTGTTTGTGTCCTCGAACACAGTGTTACCAAGGAGGGTTTCTTGAGGACAAAGAGTGCAGCAAAGATTATCGCGTTAAAGAAATCTGCAATTTAAAAAGGTCTTCTGTACGAGTATTTGAGACTTCTTTTATCAAAAACTGGGTTAAATACATTAAAGATTACATATTTTTACATTACATATACTACCTACCTACCTACCTACCTACCTACCTATCTACCTACCTACCTACCTACCTACCTATCCATCTATCTATCTATCTATCTATCCATCCATCTATCTATCTATCTATCTATCTACCTATCTATAACATTGTTGATGCTGTAGCCAAGTGTCAGAAAATGTTCTGACTTCATGCCAATAATTCAGAAATCCTGTTATCATAAAGTTAAAAAACCTCAAATTTCTCGTACCAGTTTGTCTTGCAACACCACACATGTATTTGTTTTATCTCCCCCCAAACACAAGTTAATACTAGTATTTTAAACATGTATGATTACAGATAATGATTGTAAGAAACACGCAGCACTAGTAAAAAACAAAATAGGCAGTAATAAATATGTGCACTGTATGAATCAGTCTATTTCATCTATCTACTTCATTTCAGCTCCACCTTTCTACCATTTGTACTATGTGTTATCGAGCCGCTTTGGAACCGTTGATAAGCTCAGCATCAGATTCCCCGCTGAGATCCTGGCAGAGCTGTAAATATTTAATAGTTTCCGTCTCTTATTCAAAGGCCATCAGCGTTCAGCCACGAGAAGAAAGGAAACGCTGCTGAGTTTCAGGTGTGTGTTTCTACGTATTAAAATGTGCCAACGGTAATTCTGCCCTAAAGACATCTGGTATTCATTGATATAGAGAAACCAAGGTTTTAAAGAACTCTAGGAGACAGTATTTCTAATGACATTCAGTTATGACGTTTCTCCACCTCTACAAACAAGCCTGCTTGATGTCATTTATCATTTAGAACAAGTTATAATGATCATGATGGAGGATAATCAGAGACTCATGGAAGCACAGCAAATAACAGTTCGACTACTTTACTTGGAAATGCACGTCTTTTTAAAATAGCACTTTGACTATTTGACTAATAGCTGTTGAGCATAAAAGAAACACTTTCCGTTCTTTTCTTTGCCAACTTGTACTCCTGAAATATACAGGAAACAGGAGTCTTAGAGCCACTATTTCGTTTTGATAAGAAAGGCCATCTAGTCGTGACGTCTGTAGTCAACCAGAGTATACAAGACTACAATTCCCACGGCGCCTCCTCTAAAGTGACAGAGATGAGCAGCAACCTGTTAGAAAGACGCCGTGAGGCACGGCTTTTAACCGTCCAATTACTCTTTAAGTGATCAAGTTATATAAGCCTTAACAAGAAAGAAAGCAAGAAAGAATACCTAAGTTGTTTGTTGAGTTTTGCCTCTTTGTTTTGACTATGGTGAAGGCCTCTTTTCTTTGTTGCATGTGTAGAAGTTTGTTGTTTTATTTTGAGCAAACACATCGCATAACATCATCCAAACCATCGGAGGCCAAGCAACTTTTCAACTGTAAGTAATATAAAGGAAAGAAAATGCGTTAAAAATGTCTGTTTAAGGCGTCTATCTGGGTGTGACCCTAGATAACAAACTGTCCTTCACTGCAAACATCGCTGCTACAACCCGCTGCTGCAGATACACTCTTTACAACATCAGGAGGATACGTCCCCTCATGACCCAGAAAGCGACGCAGCTTCTGGTCCAGGCTCTCGTCATCTCACGTCTAGACTACTGCAACTCCCTCCTGGCTGGTCTACCTGCATGTGCCATCCGACCTCTGCAGCTCATCCAGAACGCAGCGGCTCGTCTGGTCTTCAACCTTCCTAAATGTTCTCACACCACGCCGCTCCTCCGCTCCCTTCACTGGCTTCCAGTAACTGCTAGAATCCACTTCAAGACACTGGTACTTGCGTACCATGCTGTGAATGGATCTGGCCCTTCCTACATCCAGGACATGGTTAAACCATACACCCCAGCACGTGCACTCCGCTCTGCATCAGCCAAACGGCTCGCTGCACCCGCACTGCGAGGGGGACCCAAGTTCCCATCAGCAAAAACACGTGGGTTTGACATCAGGACAGCAGAAAGCTTACACAGCTTCCGGCGTAGACTGAACATTCATCTCTTTCGACTCCACTTCGAGCGATAGAATTGCTAACAAAGAACTTATATACTAACAAAGGACTGGCTTATCTAAAGCCAGTTGAGTAGCACTTGAAATGGTTTGGCTCTATGAAACCTGATGTACTTATATGATTCTGTTTTCTTCTAGTTTGTATCTTCTTGGTCGAATGCACTTATTGTAAGTCGCTTTGGATAAAAGCGTCAGCTAAATGCAATGTAATGTAATGTCTAGTGGCTTGAAAGAAAAACAAGGAAGGAAGCCACGACAGCCAACATCAGTGTTAAAATGAGCTCAAGTGCTAATCATTACACGGCAATGATTGAAAGAAGACATTGTCTCTGCTGCCTGATACGTTGTGCCTTTGTTTTTCTGAGGATCTGGTGCATTATTAGACCTCCTAACAGACCATCTGTGCCCACTTGACGGGCATCTCCATGCCAACTTCGTCTGGCAAACAACTCAAGGGGCAATTCACCCATTTTGACAAACCACGAGAGGTTACATAACCCACCATCTCCTGCCCTCAATCTCCACCTAAGTGAAGGCAACTGGATGATCGTCGTGGAATAATAAACTTGTTAGACAATCGCAGCATTAATGGAACTGAACTGACCTCATGCTCAACTAAGTACATCCAACTGCACTTTATATTCTACCTCATACCGTTTTTATAGAACACATATTTATTTCTAGTTTTGTAATTATCAACTGCACTGATAAATACATGTACAATAACTTATGTATTGACTTGTTTACATTGTTTTACTGCCTTGACCGTATTGTTCTTGTATTTGTAGGGCAATGTTTTGTAAGCGTACTGTTCAATGTATCATAGGTAAATAAAGGAATCTAATCTAAATGATGTGTCAGTGTAATTAAATGCATCTTCCTACTGTTTTTTAACGCCTCCCATGTTGTAAAAGCTCGGTACTTTTGGCTTCTCTTTCCTATTTTAATGTTATTTACTATGTGTTCTGTTCTACCTCATACCGTTTTTAT